GGAAAGAATTCATGGCACCATCTACTTTTCACTGCTCTGGTATGTCCTCTATCTGCAAGCCTGGAAGATAAAGCCACATTGTCTGTTATCTTCAACAAGAACCCAGTTGTCAGGGCATCGATTACACAATGCATTAGTCATGCACAGTAGTATGTGTCCCAGGAAACCTTAGAAAAAATATCAGCGTTGATCTCACTGTCCCTCCAGAGCAGTCATAAAATGTATAAGCACTAAGGAAATGTCCTTGGCTTCACTATTAGCTCCATTATCTGCTGTACACTGTGCTCCTGGGAATCACACACGTACTATTGCACTATAGAGTGTCAATAGAGAGTCCAAGTGATTAATTGTTCCCATCCCAAACGTTGTCTGTGAAGAACTTTTGTCTCAATCTCCATCTGTCCCCTTTCCTTCACATATTAGATTTCAACTGAATCCTCAAAAATGCCCTCACACTCAGAGCATGTTTAGGTACATTTCAGTTTCTCCTAAACTGCATTGGCTATGCTCCACAGCTGGCAACAATCCTGGGCACTGGTGCCAAACATTTTCCACAGCAGGCAGCAAGCAAAGATGTTCTGATAACTTTGTGATAATCCAGTTTGTCTGATAGTACCAATAGCGTTAAAAGTCTGTCGTCACTTCAGTTATCAGCCTCGTTTCATATGAACTCAGAATGTCAGTTTTGAAAATGTGAAAATATCTTGCCTTCAGAATAGACAGTACTTTGTTTTGAGATATTTTATATGCTTCTTGCACTGTCCTAAAAAATCCTGCTTTGTCTCCTGGTTACAGTCATTTTCTCTCTCTCATTTCCCCATTTTCTTACTGTACAGTCTACAGTATTTCATTTTTTCCTTGCTCTCAGGTTTTGTAACTGCATCTACCCCTGAAAACATACCAATACCTCTGCAGCTGTGCAACAGTAGTTGTGTTGGAGAAGATGAGCTACACGTACCTTCAGTGCTGTGTGATTAAACCTTTGCCAAGAGCACTTGAACTTGATCTGTATTATAGGAGCACAGGTATAGACATGACCATCATAACTACAACATCACTGTCAGGCCTGTGATGGGGATGTTGTAAGGGTGGCAAGATGAGGAGCAGAGTAGATTGATTTGCCAAAAGTCACAGAGCAAATTTGCTAACTCAGGATTTGAATCTAGACTTCCTAAGCCTCAGTGTAGTCTCCTGTTCCATAGCCCATCCTTCCCTTTCCTCAGTCTTTCCAGTAGTCCAGTCTACTGTCTAGACTACTGTCTATAGTCTAGATAGTAGACTATAAGGTCTGTCCATTGTTAGCTCTATGGAAGACCCGAGAAGAAAAGGTTGTGATGGGTTGGCTTCTGATAAGTAGAAGGCAGGGTAGACTTGCACCTTCTAGACCAGGGTGGGCAATTCTTTGGGCCTACAGGCCACATAGGGAGCTTGTTCAGCTGTCACAGGATGGGTCAGCACCCCCTCACCTTGCACCAAAACTTCAGGCTAAGAAGGCTAATGATCTCTTTCTAGGGTTACCATACATCCAGGTATTCCCGGACGTGTCCTCTTTTCAGATCCTCTGATTTCCCTCTGGGCGTTTTCTTTAAACCTGAACAAATTTTAAATCACTAGTTTTCTGGGATTTTGCTCTGCTCTGCTGGTGGGAGTGTGGGAGGGCAATTGGAGGCAGGGGGCACCGTGCTTCTTTGCATGCACACACGTGGCAGGCATGCAGCCAGGCAGGGGGATGGGAGCAGCCCTGGCAGTTGTATGCAGGTAAGTCTATGGGTGGAGGGGGCTGGAGGCAGGGGGGAGGCGCCTGACCCTCCAGTGGGGGAAGGGGCGGGAGGGCCCTGCGCAGCTGACTTAGTGGCACTGGGGGCTGGTGCCCATGCTTGCAGAGGTGGAGCACCTGGGAGATGCTGCCTGAGGGGGGTGGCATGGCCAGGCCGCCTGGCGCAATGCAGGAGCCCCAGCCTGGAAGCTTGCTTTGGCAGGGCTGGGGAGAGCAGGGGACCTGCGGGTCAGGAGTAAGGGGCACCAGCAGGGCTGGGAGGGTCTGTGGATGGGGAGTGAGGGGCACTGGGAGGGTGGGGGGCTGTGGGGCAGGAGTGCGGGGCACCAGCGGGGCCGGGGGGCTGTGGCTTGGGAGTGACCGGCGCAGAGGGTCTGTGGGCTGGGAGTGCAGGGCACTGGCAGTGCCAGGAGGCTGTGGGTTGGGAGTGAGGGGCATAAATTTGGCCTGGGGGATGGGGGACTGTGAGTAGGAAGTGAGGGGCTCCAGCAGGACTAGGGGTTTGCAGGTTAGGAGTAAGGGGCACTGGCATAGCCAGGGGGCTGTGGGTTGGGAGTGAGGTGTCCCTGTGACAGGTGTCCACTTTTTTGGAACTGGAAATACAATAATCCTACCTCCTTCTGATAGGTAGCCACCCCAGCGATCAGTCCTGACTTATCCCTGCATATATGAGAACCAACCATGGCAGGTTACTTTATGGGCTAGTCTAAGAGCAAAGAGGAAAACTGGGTAGCTTTCAATAAAGCCATCTGTCACATCACCCGGAGCTGCAGAAGCTCATGTGGGAGGTGACAGAAAAGGCTAGGCAGTTTCAGAGTCATGCTGCTTCCCTGAACTTCTCCTCTCATTCCCTCCCTCTGCACAAATCTGCTGAAATTTTTTTTTTAGAAATCGTTGTTTTTCCAAAAAATAATCACAAACCTGAAAATCGGTCTTTGAGGCCTAAAACTCTCCCTGTGCCTGAAGAAGGGTG